TCCACAGGATCATTCAAATTTAAAAGTGATAAATCAAGCATAAAAGTAATCATTCAAGGCAAGGAGAAGGCCTTTGGCATTAGAAAGGCTACCGTGCCCAAGGCACTCTGCAACTCCATCGTACACATCAATGTTTTCTCATCTGTGTTTCACCTCAATAACCAGGTTTTCTCTTTGTATTTATTAATGTAACCCTACAAATCATATACACATGATAGTGTCCAGCTTATACCTGGTAAATATCCCATTAGTACATTACAGTAGTATTTCAGTAACTGGGATAGAGCTTCAGTCACCCAAGCATAGATGTTGAGTGTATAACTGTGGGATGTCCTGTCATGACTTCAGCTGCCACCCCCAGGATGTGAGGGTCTCATGCAGATCCCTCGCTGTATCTGCCAAACATGCATGGATTTCTCACTCTGGCTTTTCCTTCTCGGTAATGGCTTTTCACCCTCTGAGGTTGCTGCTGAAATGGTCTCTCTGATCAGAACGCATCAGTATTGTGTCCTTATAGGTATATCTTCTCCTTAACTCCCTTTCTGAGGCAGAAACTGCTTAATGTCTGTGTTGTTGGCCAAATCACTTTGCTCCTATTTTGAATGCTTGTTGCTCTGATGCTGCAAGTTCTCTGCTTCCCAGTCCCTCTATGTGTGCACTTTGTCTTCTTGCCTTTTCTGCCTTTCCCAGCAGTTTCTTTCCCAGGTTTGTCTCTCTGAATCTCATTCCACTCAGGGCATGATTAGTGACTTCACAGACCCTCTGAAAGTGTTTAAGTTTGATTTAACAGAGACAACCCTATTGCTTGGTTTTTTTCTGATATCTTTTAGGAGCTTTATTCTTTCAAATATAAGATTTTATATTTAGATGTTAGCCTAGAAATAAGGCCTTAGCCCAGTCCTATAACAATCATGTGCTTGTCAGCTATTAAACCCAGTGTCTCATAACAAGCAATGTTAAAGAAATACTCATCTGTTGTTAGAAAATGAAAAACTGTTTCTTGGAGATTGGTATGATTTGTATGATTTCTCACTCCCCAAAAAAGAAAAAAAAGTATCAGAATGACAGCGCCTGAAATGAATTAATGACAATTTTATTGCTCTTTTGTAGATATAGAAATTAGCACAATGGCTCTTCATTGTCATCCTGTTCCTGTGTTTAAGAGTCTAATCCTCAGAGCGTGATACCACTGGGCTGCATTTTGTCATTGTTGAGGGTATTTAGGGAACTCAGCATCAAATTCCCACTGCCTTAGAAAAGAGCACAATGTTTAAAAATTTAAAACTATCTTCAGTATTTACCTCAGATGATGGAGCTTTTTCAAGTATTTGAACTTTCCTTGGAAGCACCAAGGCTCAAGCCTCTCATTTTTCCCCATCTCAAGCCAAAATTCTGGCAGCAATGACTCCTTGAACTGGACCTTCAGCAGACTAAACACGTAAGACTTAAAATAAAACAGCCAGTTACTTCATCATTTGGGGAATTACATTTTAAAGTTTTTTTTCCTTGGAAAACTTTTATAAAAGATTCTGGAAACAAGTTGCAAAGGAGACTGTAACTTTCCTAGCAGTGAACACTGATATCTTTTCTTTCCCTCCCCTTTTCCAAAGAAGTACTCTTGTTTTGTGTCTTGTGTCCTTTGTGACAAACCAACACTCAGGAGTTTGGGGTGCTTTTTTTTTTTATCAGACAGATTTTACAGATTAATATCTTTGTAGCAAACATTGAAATCCATAGAAAACCCCACCTATTTGTGATTAATTCTCTGCAGGCTGGAATACTTGATAACATCTAATAGATCTGTGGCAAAAGCCAATGTCATTTCACAACAGAGCCCCACCCCTGGGCTGAGATCAAGTCATGCAAGTAAATAAACCCCAAGTTCACATCTGATTAAAGCAGATATATGGGAGGTGTGAACGAGACTGGCCAGATGCTACATCATATGATAAACATCAAGGATCATGGTATCATATAAAAATGGGCATTTATATGGTACAGCCGGCTATGCATAATCTTCTCCTAATTTATAAGGCTGGAGCATCTGGTCCATTGTTGTTTCTTTATCAGCTTTTCTGGAGCCCTGTTCTTGAATTTCTGGTAGCTGAATACTGCTCTTGTGAGTGCCAGCAGAATGGGAAGAGAAAGGCATTTATGGTAGGAGATAAGCACTTATTCTATCCAACAGATAAGATAATGTTCAAACACAGTCATGAAAGAAAGAAGGGTAGACCCTTGTGGGATGGGCTCCACTTCACAACAAAGTCCATAACCTCAAACTCTCAAAGACATAGTATCTATTTCTCATTAGAGGGACCCTCAGTCGTGATAGAGGGACCCGACCAGATGAGGCTATTGTGACAGGCAGACATCCCTCAGCAAAGTGGCAAGTGAGAACTTACAGAATTGCACAAGTCCTAAGTCCTTCTTTTGTTACACTGCTTGGTCTTCCCCACCCACTGGCATACCCCAAAAAGTCAGCATTTATTTATCTCTTTTCTGAAACAGAAGCTGGCACTTGGGTAGAAAATGTCTCCTCTGTAAGTGACTAAAAAATCAAGAGAAGGGTGTTTTCAGCTGGGTCTTGCAAACTTTTGGCCAGAAGAAGCCAAGGCAACGATGTGAAAGCATCCTGAACTGAATGGTGTACATGTGCATGAACCACTGCAGAGCTGTGTGCCAATCCAGGCAGTTCTGGAGATGGTCTGCTTGTGCCCATGAAGAGAAAGAGAAAGGAGGGGCAGAGCTCACTTTTCCAGGTATTTCCAAACTGACTTGCCTGCAGGAAAGTCCCAGCTGTAGTTAAGAGAACTCTTTCTCCATTCCACCCTCATGGAGTCATAAATAGCAGTGCAGCATACAGTCTAAGTCACAATAAGTTGTTTTTAAAAGTTACAGCATTGCCAACGCTATCTAGAAGCTGTGGGTTCAGATCCTTCAGCCTTTGTGGACTAAAAATACAGCACCAAGCCCTTCCCTGGTAAAATTACATGTCAGAACAGCGCTGAAAGGAAATTTGCATTTCAAATGGAAAGGGAAAATTTGCTTTTCCAGAACATCATGGGGCTGGCAATAATAAATCATGGTACTGTCAGAATGGAAGTGGGTTCCTGCAACTCTTGCGCTGCTTTCCGTAAGCCTGTGTTGTTGCTGAGGAAGTGAAATCTGGTTAGCAACACAACTGTGCAAGACTTCTTCAGATCTTTTATTGTTTTTCTCAGTATGCATGCTGCACATATTTCATAATTTAATAAAATTGAAAAACTTTCAGATTTCAAATGTCCCTGTGGCTCTGCTGCTTCTTTTTTTTTTTTTTAATGTTTTCTTTAAAAGAGTTTCACCCTCTGCATCTGACATAGGTACAGTATTCGGCATTGTCTTCTCTGACTAGTGTTAGTAGATGTTACCTTAACAACGCTTTATCTTTGTGTAACATGAGCTGCACTAAGGAAAGAAGTGAATTTCAGAAAGAACTTGAATTACTACAGATATTACTTTCAGGCTGTGATGATCCACAAATGGATGAAGTCATCACTGCTGAAATATAAGACAGGGTATTTCTTAATAGTTTGCCTGGTCAGATTTATTGTTGTTCTGGCCAGTGCAAGAGGGGCAGCAGGGCAGTGCTTGATCTGAGTCTTGTCTTGGCGCTAGGTATTGTACAGAGATTTAATAAGACTCATGTCCTAAAAAAACTTACCTAAATAAAGAAACTGTGGATATGGGTGGGGAAAGCAACTGGAAGAACTGGGAAAGGAGTGAAAAGAGGAAGTGTGGTGAAAGAAACCTGGGGTTATGGACTAGATATATGGACATGGCTAGATGTCTGCAAACTTAGTCATTCAAATATATAATGTATTAAAATCAGGTGGTGGAAATATTTATTTATGGAATGACCTCTTTCATTTTGGTAAAGGCAAGTATGACGAGCATTCACTTCCTTAAGCACAGCCTCTTCCCAAACACCTACTGCCAGCACCCTGATGCAGCTGTCAGCTGTGATGCCTCCAGCTGAGGTGTTAGTGACAGACCATGAAAAATGCTTTGGATGTGGTTTAAGAGAACTCAAGCTCAGTTACGTAAACTGAATTGATCCACCTTTGTGTATGTGATTTAAGGGAAAAGTAGATAGTGATTACGTAGCAGGGAGCTCCAGTATTCCCAGGGCTTGCTTTGCCCTTTTGTGTCTGCTCCAATCTCTCCTCCTCTCATTTCATCTGCAGTAAGAGAATGTAGTTAAGTACTAATATTGCCACTGTCCTCATGATACCTGCCTTTGAGATATTTATATGCATTGATGAGATCCCCTCTCAGTTTTCTCTTCTCTAGGCTAAACAGGCCCAGCTCCCTCAATCTCTCCTCCAAAGAGAGATGCTCCAGATCCCTAATCATCTTTATGGCCCTCCGCTGGACCATCTCCAGCAGCTCCTTGTCTTTCTTATACTGAGGAGCCCAGAACTGGACAAAGTACTCCAGATGGGGCCTCACTAGGGCTGAGTAGAGAGGGAGGATCACCTCCCTCGACCTGCTGGCCACACTTCCCGATGCACCCCAGGATACCATTAGCCCTCCTGGCCACAAGGGCACACTGCTGGCTCATGGTCAACTTCTAATCCACCAATACTCCCAGGTCCTTCTCAGTAGAGCTGATTTCTAGTAGGTCAGCCCCCAACCTCTCCTGGTACTTGGGGTTATTCCTCCCCAGGTGCAGTTCCCTACACTTGCCCTTGTTGAATCTCATTAGGTTTCTCTGTCCAATTTTCCATCCTTTCAAGGTCCCACTGAATGGCAGCACAACCCTCAGGTGTATCAACCAGTCCCCCCAGTTTTGTAACATCAGCAAACTTGCTGAGAGTCTCTTCCTTTTAATTGTCTTTCTTCGAGTGAAAGAAAGGATCTTTCCTGTTTTTGTTTAAATTAGTTCCTGGCTAATCACATACTGTTTTCACTGACAGAAATGTTATGTTGAGGGTACTACGAAGACATTGTGAGCATGGGCGTACTCCTGTACTGTACATTTCTTATTTTAAAGAGAGGACACTTTTTTCATATTCTGTTGCAACCGTGGTTCTAGAAGACATAAAATATCTGAAACTTCTATTTTATAAATTGTATTTTAATTCCAAGGTTTAAAATAGAAAAACCCTAGAAGGAATCTTAAGGATATTTCCACAAATGCTTTTTGCATGTTTTTTCTTTTATGTTACAAGACTGTTTCCTTTGAAAATGCAAATATATACCATCATAAATTGTAATATAGGACATACAAACAGTCCTTGACCTTCATGTAGCATAAAATGATTGTGAGGAATCAAATAATTTAATGCAGCAAAGGTTAGTTTAAAAAGTGTCCAAGTATGTATTCCAGACATAGACAACAGATGTTGATTTACAGCTGGATCTGTGATGGAAGGTATCTTCTGCCATTATGCCTGTAACTGGGAAGAGAAAGATAATTGCTGCTGGAGTGCGCATTTAAGCTGGGTGGTATTAAACTGAACCGACACTGAACACATGCCATTCTCCTGCATTCCTCCTGCAGCTCTGCAGGTTGTTTGGAAGTCCAGCTCTAACCTGAGCTTCCAGCTCTTTACAGTACTGGGAAAGTGAGCAAAACTGCAGGAATGTCCCCTAGAAATGGGCTCCCTCCTTAGCCTAAATCCACTGACCAAGACTCAAGAAAGACCAGTGTTATGCACCATATTATGAAGCTGAAGAAAGGAAAACTTTTATAGTTAGGGTATAACAATTAGGGTAGAACAGAAGCCCAGGTTCAAGCTCTGATGCTTTTTCAGTTTCCCCCTAGAAAGGGCCCAGATATGAGCTTGCTAAGGCCAATTCCAGTGAAGTCAACTGTGGGCTAGGTCTTTGTACACTCTGTGCCTTTGCACCTGCAAGACAGGATTGATAGTAAATCTCTTTGCTGGGCATATAATACATGAAGATAGTCTAGTGATTGAGGTAAGTAAAAAAACAAATTTTCAGATCAGCTAATGGAGCTAACTTTTGCATTTTGGCCCACAGGAACTTATGAAATTTGATAACTGATTTATTTTTACAAAAATTACACTGAAGAGTGGCTATGAAAAGGGGACAGGCATATTTTAATTAATCCATCAGATCAATTCCTGAACAGAATTGAGATGCAGAGCTTGCAGGAGAACTGCATGTTAATAAAGTTGGAGGTAACTCATTTTCCTAATTAATTTTTACTTGACAGAAAAAAAATTGAAAGTAATACTATTTATAACTGTTTAAAGAAAGGCACAGAGATAATTTTGAGGACAGCGCCAGCATGCAAATAATTTTCTATCCCATTCTTCTAATCTCCTTGGCCTTATCATTCTTACCTGGTGTGCAACTAACTGAGATTATGTAAGAATTCTAGCTAATACTGTCATATGGGATGGCAGTTTCTATGCCACACTTTATTTTCTCCTTTTGGAGAGCATCTGCCTTTGTGATCTTGACTTCCAGAGTCATCTCCAGTTTCAGCTAGTGACTTACCTGTTGTGGAGGTGGCAGCCCTGTCACTGCAGTACGGTGCATTGCCTGCTGCTGTAAGTACTGCTGCGGTCCAGCATGGGTACATATGTTTTAGCCACGATGCAGTAGCTGACTCCAGGCCTCAAATCTTTTATTTTAATAACCTTGTCTTTTCCTTCATACGCCAGGACTCTGTGTTGCTTCAGACACAGTGGAGAAAAAAGAGCCAGTCAAACACATTTCCCTAGCAAATGTGTTTGTGAGTAAAGTTTAATAACAACAGAGGGTGTAGAACAGCATGTGGACTTACACATAGTCCACAGCATTAATAATTTATTTATGATTTTAAAAGAAAATTCTGCCCCTCCCCTCAAATTCCCCTCCTGTCTCAATTTTTAATATAGATCTTAGAGTATGAAATACTAAGTTGATGATAAATAATACAGGGAGGATTTACAACTCAGCTGAAACAAATTTTATTCCTGAAAAATAAGCCTATGTTGTTTACAAATGCCTGTGCAGTCATCAATGCTCTCACAATCCCAGAAGACTACTTCAGCTGTAAAACAAGGATGGTGTGCCCACACTTTCCTGGCCTTTCAACGGTAAAGAGTTCATATTTGAATATACACTTACCTCATCTAGCAAGTTGTTAATTATGAAGACTTGATACAGCAGATCATAATAATTTGTCATTGGTATCTTGCTGCCTTTCTTCCTTTTATATGGAGAACGTGGAGCCTGGAGCTTTACTATAATGGATTTGTTGCTATGAACCACAGTTACTATTGGAGGTCCTATCATAGCTAAGGAAAAAACCCAAAGCTATAAACACAATTCTGGTTTATTAATAATATTTCATAGAACACAATTTGAATCCATTCATCAAATGGTCATATTGCCAACAATATATTATGCTGTATTTACTGTTAAAGAGTCACTTTATAAATTCTTACTTCTTGGTGGTTATTGCTTGGTTATTGCTATTTCTGGGGTGACATTTCCTGTGTTTGTAAATCTATCTTTGAACTAAACTTTTTGAAATCTCTTAGAGCTCCATGTTGCTGCGTGCTGACTGGTCAAGCAAAACGCTTTGGATTCTTTGTCCTAATTTTCTTTTTCCCTCATGTTTGTCTGTGTGCTTGGACTGCATAAAATATCTATTTGAATCATTTCAGTTATGCCAAGAATGCAGTTTCCATCATCACTTTAAAATTTTTTGCAATTTGCTTGGTTAAACACAGCTAAGGGTTCAAGGTAGTGCCTGCATACCTGTGTGTGCAGCCCCAGAAATGTGGGGAGACAGGGCAACAGCTGCCCCATACATCTCTTTAGGAGGAGGAGGTGGCACAGGACAAGATGGGCTGTGCTGCTGCAAGGTACTGCTTTATATCAAAGCTTGTGGTTTCATTTGTGCAGGAGGCTCAAGGTAGTTTGCACTGCAGAGTTGTGAAGTGACCCCACGTTGACAATTCAATTTTGCATTGACCAGTGAGGGAAAATTGGTTAATTCATGGGGAACTTTTGGATAGGTAGATTGGTACTGTTCAGTGTTTGGACAGTCCTCTATTTCTAACATCCTATGGCATTATAATGACAGAACTAACTAAAAGCTTGGCACATGTCTGTTTTATGTCCTTTGCTGCAGTGAGGAAAACACATAAATATGAGGAGGATGGTAGCCACACAGCACTCAGCTCTCTTTTTGCCCCAAGAAGGGAATGTTTCCTTTTTTTCCGTCTTGTGTCCTGTCCTTCTAGCAGCTTGAAAACTGGCTGAAAATAATTAATGTAGTTCCATGCTCTGAGGAAGAGGGCAATGTGAATTAAAGGGAGCTGGGCACTTTTGATCTCCTAACTATTGGTAGGTGCCCATTTAGCCATAATTGGTTGGCTTTCAAGTGTGGGAAAAATTATTTTATTATAACACTTCAACTGGGAGCTATTGACTCAAAACTTCTTTAGGTACAGCTTTGTAGCTAGAAAAGGATGCTTGCAAATTGTGAGCAGAAATTATGCATTTCATGCCTTGGAAGATCAAATTCCTTTCTGAGAGACCCATATGTTTGCACTTACTTTCTCGCCAGGGAGTGAATCTGCAGCTGAGGCTCCAGTTGGAAAAGACACCAGCCAATGCGGCTTTCACTCTTCCGTAGTAAGGCTCCCGGATGTCAGAGGTCTCATGTGTTAGGTCACAGACATGGCTTTGAATTCCCCAGCAGTCATCTTTGTTTTGCCACGTGGTCTGCCCATAACTATGGAGAAAGAGAAGGAAGGATGTAAACTTTAGCTATTACTGACTGGGTCCATGCAGATTGTTAGCCCTCTGTTTTACTTCGGTGTCATTGACACCGGTGGAAATTAACTGCTTTCAATTTGATGACAGGGAAGGTTGATTTCATGGGCATTTGGGAGCTACAGGTTTTTGTTTTTTCTGAAAGAAACCTAAAGCAGAGACATGGGTCACCAGCCCTGTAGGAAGCCACCTCTTACTTGCCCTGTGGAAGAGGCAGGCAAGCTTTGGCTTAGCCAGTATGTCCAACAATGAGCAGAATGCCAGATTTCACCAGGTAATTTCTCAAGGGCAATGATGATTTCAGGCACTCACCAGGTGCACCAGGGATGGGAGCAGACCCTGAGGACTAGCCCCTAGTGTTGCCTCAAGCTTGCCATCCAAGGCACCCTGAGACATTGTCATGGGCAAGGTGGGCCACTGAAATACCTTAACTGTCCTATTGCAGAAGAACTTCACCTAGCCAGACATGCTTCCGCAGGCTGTTGGACCCAGTGACCTTCAGAGGTCCCCTGCAAACTACATTTTTCTTCAACTCTGTGGTGCAGTAAGGATACAGAGCATATTGCTGGAGGTGCTTGTTCCTTGTCTGCCTCATGCTGCTTGGCTGCACCTTATGGGATATTAATTGATAAGTGCAGTGACAACTGAGAGCTGGCAGCCAAGCGGGACATGGCTGTTCCCCAGGTATGAGGAGAATATCCCATGTCACCTGAGAAATCCTTTTGATGTGGCCAGCAGGGATAGGCCCTGGCACAGTGGGAGGCTGGAGTTCCCCCGATACTTACACTTTATACTGCACAAAGTAGAGTGTGTCTCTCGCCTCTCTGGCCCACCCAGGCTGCCAATGCAAAGTGCTGTTGAAGTTTAACGAATGAAACTCTACCTTCTGCGGCTTAATCGAGTCTTGCAGGTCTTGGTTTTCCATAAGTAAAAGTGCTGCAAATAATATGGAATGATAACATAACATGTTTGTCCCAGACACCCTCCTCCATATTGAAATCATGGGGGTACTGCCACAGACCATTTGGTTTTGTGACTAGCAGACCACAGAGGGAAATTAAATCTCCTGGATCTCACGATCAAAACATTCCAAGTCATGAGATCTAGTAGTTACAGAACAAGCACATTTAGTACTATGAAAGGAACACTTTTATGTGGACTGTCTGGGTGGGGTTTTTTTGTTGGTGGGGTTTTTTTGTTTGGTTGTTTGTTTGGATTTTTTTAAATTTTTGTGTTTTTTTTTTCCTTAGTGAGTTAACTGCTGTGGAAGATGCCTCATGCACATCCCAGGAAACAAATCCTTTGGATCTATTCACAGAGTCTGCAGTAAGCAGCCCATTCAGTAGTTAAAAGTCAAATGTTCTTTCCTCTATGTTCAGCTTTAACCTCAAGAGATTATAGCTCTTGAAGAGATTATAGCTCTTTTAACTGTTGCCACAGTTGCATTTACCAGCTCTTGCCTAATAAACAATAACCTGAGATTCACTGCTTTTCCTGTCTGCACTACTGGAAAAGCTGTCTGACAGTTTTTAAGGTCATCTGTTTTCAAAGTGCAATATTACTGATAGAATCGGTTAAAAACCTCTCCGAAACATCCAAATCCTAGTATTTTTCTGCGTTTTGCAACCTAGATGACAGCAGCTTTTTCCCTGGCATATCACAAAATCAGGTAAGATTTGTACTGGCTGAACTGAAACTGGTAATACAGCCATGAATAAATCTAATGGGTAACATGCTTGTTTTATCTGCATTTCAGAACCTTGAAAGATAAAGTAACAGACTAATTTAAAAGTGACTGGACTTTTAAAACCCAGCAAAAGATCCAGAGATTCCTTGACTCATCCAGAGATTTAAAAACAGGATCTGCCCCCTCCCCCCTTCCCACATAGGAAAAGAGCAAAAAGCCCTTACTTACAAGTTATCTCATCCTGAAGCAGGTGCATCAGTAACCAGAGGAAGGAAAGCATGATCCTCCTCATGCTTCGGAGAGCAGCTCCATGACTGAAAAGCAACTCTCTTCCTCTTGGGCATGTCTTATGAGGAAGTAATTTTTAACCACTCCAGACTTCCCCTTATTCTCAGTGGTTTTCCAAATTCCCCGGTTTGGTTTAATTTAGCTGGAAAACATGAGTTGCTCTAAATTAAAAATGAGCGATTGTTCTTACTTGGCAGCTGTGGTCATGCTGAAGTTTGGAACTAATTATGAAGCAAACCATCATAAATAAGGTCCTTTTTTAAAGACACTAATTCCCAAATGATGTCTGTCAGTATTGTTTTATCCCATAAATTTATCACAGAAGCTTGCTTGCTTGCCATCCTTTTTATCTATTAAATTATTCATCAATTTATGTATTTATTTATATTTCAGCTCACTAGTTGCTCAGAGCTGAAGAACACAAGAAATTTTGCTGCAAACATATAAAAGACCTACCCAAGGGTTGTCCTCTGGTTTGATGGACTGTCTCTGGGTCAAATGCAAGAGACGGAGTTTGCAGGTGTGTTCACAGCAGGACATCATCTAGGAGTGTATCACTGGAAGAATGAGGGGCTGTGAAACTGCTGCTGGCTGTTGGGCAGCATGTTCACACCACACAGGCTGCTGGAGAGATGATGGGAGGCTGCAAGACTACCAGCCCATTAACAGGGAATGAGAAGGTAAGCCCAGCCCACTGGGCCAAAGAGCCTCTCTGGGCTGGACTTTCAGACTGCCAGTCATATGCCCCAACTGGTGCAGGTGTGCTGCAACACTGCCTGCACAAATATTGGGATTTGTCAGTGCTGTCATCTGAATCCTGTCTTCCCAATATGTGCATCCCTACAAGCTTGACCCCAGGGCTGGAGATGCCAGGGCTCCCAGGCAAAAAAAAAATCTCACTTTGTGTTTACTAGTGCTTTAATGCCACGTGCATTCCTGCCTGGTGGGAGAGGAGTTTTGTGCTCCTGGGACGCATGGAAAACTCAGCCAAGCCAGTTGCTGGTGGTGGAGGTGGTGCTACTGGAGGCAGCTGGGAGCTTGCTGGCCCTCCTGCCTGGCCTTGCCCCTCACGCTTCCCTCTCAGAAAACTCCCTGATGCTGACACCCACCGGCTTCGCTGCTCATGCACTACTACAACTAGGCAAAAGTCAGGATTCATTCTCTTTTTGCGAACTCATGATGACAAGCAAGAGGAGAAAAATGCAAATTTTGTAAGACTTAACGAAGCACTATGTAACAACTCCCACCAAAGGAGTAATGGATGTGAAGACCATCTGTCTGCAGACAAAAAGAATTTGTCAGAGAATCATCTTTGCTTTGGGAAAAGGTGGAGGCAAAACACTTGTCAGGTTGAAAAAGTGCAAGTTCTGGTTCAAATGAAGATATTCTTCTATTTAAAAGCAACCAGTTATATTCAGCAAACTGGACAACATCTAATCAAGAAGCTGACCTTGGTCAGACAGATGGGCACAGGCTCTCAGTTCAGCTGATCACCTATACCTAATTATACAAGCATTAAATCTGCAGCAGATATACTAAAATGCTAACTGTGTAGCTTTGAATAATTAATTAGACAAACCAATTAAGGGAATTAAAGAATTGAGAAGAAATGAAGTGAAAAAACACCTACCAAAATGAAGGCAGAAAGTCTACCCTGGCTGTAAATTTTTTATCTATCCATTTCCCAAACGCATTTTCAAAATTCAGTGACCTTTAAGTAGTTCCCCACACCAAATGCAATTAGTATTTCATCATGTTATATGAGCTCAAGTGCGGGAATAGGGAACTTTTACAAACCAATCACTAGACTGAAAGGTTATCAAAGTTTAGTCACAGTTCACGTATTTGTTTACTCGAATAGTACCAACACACCTTCTCATACCCCACGTAACAGCTCATTGCCAGGAGCTGAAGTGTGGACCTTTGCCAAAATTGCTTTTGATGGTGGTTCCTCCTATGAATGCAGAACTGAGGGCCAGCCTGCCACGTGGTGAAACGGGGCAAGAAACACCTGTCACATGGAAAAACTCATGGTTTCATGTGTATTGCACTCTGATAGTGTTTTATCTGCAATTGAGCTCAGCCTTCTGCATTAATTGGTAACTCTTCATATAAATTTGGTTGTTATTGTTATAGCAGGTTATCAGCATCTGTAATGTTATGCTACTCATCAGCTTTGGTCATGCTGCTTCAGGGCTTTCTGTGATAAAAATTGCTGCAGTCAAAGAAGGACCAGCTACACACACACCTATAGATATGTACATACACATATGTCTCGAGTTTCATAGAATATGTATATAGTACATTTTTAAAAAAATTGAGGAACACTACAGGATGATGTGCACTGCAATGGCGTTTAAAATATAAGAATTTTTAAAAACAATATTAAGGGTGCTCTGAACTTTATGAAGAAATGAAAAGTCAATATATATTACTTTCTCCAGCAGAATCCACATAAGTAGTTATGCTATTAGCTCATCCTAGCTTACACACTGAAGCATCTTTTTCATACAAACTGCTGTGAAACAGCAGAACTGATGTTTTTGTGAACCAATATAGAACTCTGGGCATGAGGGTTCAATTCCATTCCTGGAATTGAAACCTATCAGAATGCTGGGAAAACAGCTTTTTTTTCTCTTGAGGACAAACTATTGCTACACAGAGGTAAAACTCAAGTACATTCTTGCTGAAAGTTGCCTGATTCATCCTACTTGATGGCACCATCTCCCTGGTTATTCCTTTTCTTTCTTTTTCCCTTGAATGAGTTATTTTCCATACATAAGAGGAGACAATTTAACCCTGAAACTGTTACTGTAGCATGACCTTTGGCTGTGAGTCTGATATTTGCAGTGGATATGAGGGTGGGTTTTGCTTACATACCTGAATGAGTGTGCGGGAGGATGAAGAAAGGGGAGAAATTCCCAAAGCATACAGAAAATACTTGTAGTAACTGGCAGAGGCCAGGCAAGTCTCTCTCATGTGTGGCATTTCACACAAAAATTAAAAAAATTAGTAGTTCACATTACTCTGGACCTAAAGACTATTCACAATTGGAGCTAGAGTTTTCAGTCTTTTCTAAACAGCCAGTGTGGACTCACAGGGAAACCTATCTTAGGAGGGGACTCGAGGTCTTCCAGTCCAGCCTAATGCTCAGCACAGGGCTAATGGCAAATTTATCCTATACTTAATCACTTTCAGTGTGCGTTTCCTCTTGCATATCCTAGTGGGATTCCCCTGCTGCAATTTATGACAGCTGGTTTTTGTGTTTTTACTGAGGGCCTCGGAGAAAAATCCCTCATTTCTGCAAATGTTCCTTACAGTTGGCTACTGCAGTTAGATCTCTCCTGAGTGCCACCTCTCCTGGCTGAAGGGATCCAGCTCCCTCAGCCTCTTCTGGTGTGGCAGGTGCAGCAGGGCTTCACCAGCTCAGTGGGGACAGGGATAATGAATCTCTACACTACACACAAGAAAAAAAAAGAAAGTAAACACCCACAGTCAGGCAGGAGGGACTTTTCACATTTTTCTTCCTTGCTCTTTAAGGAAGAGGCATTGCATCACATGAGTTCTCACAGAGAAGTTTCTGAGGAAGTGAGGTAGACTTTCACTGCACAGTGCGTGCTTTCCCTGCTTTCTGCCACAGGTACAACCTGTTCAGCTCTCACTGTTAAAGGGCTTGGGTCAACATCTTAAAGACTACAGTTAGAAATTCCCATTCTGTAGCTGCACCTAGATAGTAAGACATTTGAACATATCAAAGATGAAGATCTGCTGAAGGCTTGCAAATAGCAAGTCATTATTTGCACATGAAGTATTTATTTAAGAATGTGGAACACACTGAATTGCACCAGGAAGTTAGTAACCAACACCAACATTTATTAGGAACTGAAATTAATACAAAACCCCACAATAGCTCAAAACATTTTATTTAAATAAGAGGTTCCCTTAAAAAATTGTCAGTTTTTTCTCATTTGCAAAGCCATATGATTATACTTTTTCTACCCCTATGGAGTGCTGTAGTTTGTTTAAGACCATTGAGAAAAGACCCACTTTTCTTTACATTGTGGATCCCTCACCAAATTATCTGCAGACAAAAAAACTACTAACTTGGAGACATGTGGAATTAATATTCCACAATTTGTTGGGTTTGCTTAAGTAACCTTAATAGTATAGGAAAGGTACCAGGTGCTCAGTCAGCCAATAGAAACCCCAGATAAGCCTGGAGAGGTACAACACAAACATTGCTCATGCTTTCTTGGTCCACCTACTAAAGAAAGGAAGGCTCAAAGCCTGGTAGTGCAAATTCTCGCTCTCTCTGGCAAACTGCCACCAGAGGCAGCTGAGGCAACTCCTGAAACATTAGTAGCGTGGGTAGGATACACATTCATCTTGTAGGCAGTGGCTGGAAATCTCTGTACCTGATCACCGAAGTCCTGTCTAGTCCACAGACTGCACCAGGCTGACTCACCACACAGCACAAGGCCAAGAGGCTGGAAGGCATGCATTCAGAGAAAAAGACCGGAAGAAGTGGAATGCCTGTCTCCACATCTGTAATCAAAACTTCTGGTAGCTACTCTGGGCAATAAACCCTGGAAAGATCCAAGCTCCAGGGGTTTCCCTGGCCAAGGGAAAAAACCACCAGAAATAAAAAAAACCCCCTGCCTTTCACTCATCTCTTCTGCAGGTAGAAGTTGTTAAGCATCACACGTTCTAGCCTGTGGCTCAGTTCTGTGGTTGTCTCAGTACCATCTCTCAGTACCATCTCTCTATCATCCAAGGAGCACAAACTCTAGACCAGAACTCTATTTTAACAAGTCTTTACCACCACTATCTCCAAATTACTACTGAATATACACACTGTAGTTTTACAAGCCTTTTTTTTTTTTTTTAATAAATACAATGTTTCAGATCTTGAGTAGATATAGTTCCTGAGCATTCAGGAATCAGCGTGCTAAGGTTTTCAGGACAGTACACTCCATACTTAGCGGAATTGGTTTTCACACTTCTCAGAGGTGTTAGTTTCGAGTCTACTGCAATGTAACCATTTAACCAGAAAATT